TCTGAAAACACTCAAAAAAATTAATGGTCACACTGGTAATTAAACTAGAAAACCCTACATCAACCAGATCTTCCAACTGGTCTCTTCAAAATTTTGAGTTTAGGATTTTTGAATTATCTGTCTCTGTCTCAGTTTGAGTAAGGACTATGTTTACTATTTTTTATAATTTTTCTTTGTCTAAAATGGAGATCAAGAACACGACAACTACAAACTCAGCATTGAAATACACAATTTATTAAAAAATTTCTCCAGAACTTTTTAAAAAATTTTTCTTGTCAATCTCCTGAGAGTTCAAAAAATGTTGCAAGAGGTCAAATTCGTGCTTGGGAGCTTTGTGGATATTGAATCATGCTTTGCAATGCACTCTAACAACAAAATACAGACAGCTGATAAGATATTGTGTTTTTAATCACTCAAAAATTCATCACTCAGAATATTATTGTCCCCGGAACAGGAATAATTTCAGACAATAAATGGCGTTGATCATCCACCTGGTATATCTGGTATATCACCTACAGATCAAAATCCTACTTATATTCTGTCCAGTGCTCCTACAAACATCAATAACATTTGTAGCTCCTTGTATTCTCTGGGTTGTGATTCCACAAGTTTAGTTTATAAGCTCAGTGTTCGTTTTTTTTTAATACTTTTTTCTTTTTGATAGAATGATGGTTTTTGACACTTTTAATTTGTCAGGATTCTTCCCTTCTTTTGGTAGGTATGAGTATTTGTATGGTATTTCTGTTAGCTTTCAACCATCCAACAACAGAAAGTTTAATAGTTAAAACTTCCTTAGTGTCACGCTATTTTTTTTACTATGACATAATCCAGGAAGTTCCTCAATTTTAAATTTTTTTTCGAATTCCATACATGCATTTTCCGCTTTACCACTGTACTCTTCTTCTTTATTTTCAGGCACTATAAACAGAAGAAAAGAAAAGAGAAAGAAAAAGATCTAAATACTTATGAAAATAGTTAGGTTGGTCATCTTGTTTTATTGGTGCTTTTATAAAAATAGCAATAAGAACCAGGGGACCTGGAGGCAGGAGCGTGCTGGCTCCAAAAAGCCCATGCAAGATTTTTCCATAAAGGCCCATATATGTGAGATTTCTCCAATTTTGCTTGATGAAAATTAAAAAAAAAAGGCCCTTGTAGGATAAGTAGCGATAGGCCCAAGCAGGATTCCGGCATAGCCTATAGGGCCAGCACACCACTGCCTGGAGGGGACATAAATGTACCAAAAAAATGATCAATATTCAAATAAATGAAATTTATTGAATAAAAATTCAGTTTGAATTTGATTCCTTTTATAGCTTTAATTATTCAGCTCAAGCTAACTTCAGATTAACTCCAAGCATAGAGTCTAGTCAATCCTTTTCTCTTTGTTTTAAAACAAACTCTTTGTTTTCTTCTGATTTCATCTTGGCATCTTGATGCAAAATATTAAATAAATTATCTAGCTTTGAGGCAAACTCTTTTATTTTTTTCTTTCAGGTTTCAATTGTTTATTAAAGTCCTTTTGTAAACTTCTCCACTTTGAGTGCAGTTACTCTAATTTAGTATTAGCATATTTGGCTTCCCTGTTTGTACTTTTGGTGAGCATTGTCGAGACCACATTTAGAGCCCTTTGTTATGACTTAGGGTTTGTTAATAGTAATGAGGCGATTGCTTGGACTTTTAAATAGTTTACTGAGCACTATCTGTGCTTTGAGTCAAGTTCTTCAGCAAATTTAAAAATGACTAAAGCACCAAATACTATAAAACACAAAACACCATTTTCATTACCAAGTTCTGTAAATCTATCATTCTCTGATATTTGTGGTCTTCGAATTAACTTTTCTTCTGTTTAGTCTTATCTCTTGCAAAGTTCACTAAACCTTCTTGCTCTTTGTGAGAATAATTTGAGTTCAGCTGTCTTATCCTGTGATCTTAGTGTTGATGCTTATATTCTTTTAATTTGTAAAGATTCCAATAGTCACATGCTTGGTCTGGGCATTTACATTAGTAATAATTCATCCATTTCTCTGAAAACTAAGTTCGAATTCATAGACTAATTTTTTATGTGCTTTTGTTTAGCACCACTTCACTCTATCGCCTTTCTCTTTGTTCTATATTGCTCTCCTTCATCTTAAGGCTGCACTTTTTTTAATGTTATTTCTGATCAAATTGACCAAGCCCTCTCTCTTTATGCTTTAGTCAATATTGTTGTTATTGGTGACTTTAATGCTCATCACATTGAATGGCTTGGCTCTAGTCTCAGTGACTCTACAGGCATTAAGGCCCAAATTTTTTGTCTTCCTCAATCTCTAACACAAATAGTCAACATTCCAACTTTATTATATATATATATATATATATATATATATATATATATATATATATATATATATATATATATATATATATATATATATATATGCATCACTTAACAAAATAACTTAACAAAAATTTTTCATTGAACAATGTGTTACATCAATAAAGATTCATCAGAAATCTGATTTCTAGTAATAAGTAATTGAACAAACAATATATATGTTACATTCTGTTACATATAGTTTATAATCTCAACATAATGCTAGTACTTGGATAATCTTTTGCCGCAAATACAGCATTGCATTTACATTGAATCAACCAAATTAATTAAAACATCAATTGGTATTACCTCCCACAAGCTTTTAATCAACTCAAATAACTACTATTGATTATTTGTTTTACGTTTATTAACTATTCTTTCAATAATGGTCCTAAAGATATTCTATTGGGTTGAGGTATGGAGATTGTACTGGCCATTCAAAAACTTGAACTTTCTTTAAGACAAAAAATTCTGTGACTAGCTCAGATGTGTGCTTAGGATAATTGTCATGTTGGAAAGTCCAACCAAGTGACTTTTTGTTATTTGCATGTGGCAGCATTATGTCCTTTATTACTCCTTTATACATGTTTTTGTCCATAGTGCCTTGAATTGACCAAACCATTACTGAGCTACCACCATGCTTCACTGTGGGAACCTGGCACTTAACATCATTTTGATGACCTACTGGACGTTAAACATATTTAATATTGTAAGAGCTAAACATATTAAACTTTGACTCATCACATAGTATTTTCAACCATAGCTGTGCTGTCTAATTTATTTAACATATAACGTTCTATAGCAAACTTCAGTTAATTCCTATAATTTTTTTTAAGAAACAAAAGGTTTTCTAATAGGATAGCAGCCAAAAAGGTTGTTTTGTCAAAAGTCATGCTTTACTGTTGCATAAGAAAAGGAAATTTGACGTGACTGTGTAAATTTGCTACACATTTATTTAGTACTCTTTTTGAATTTTAATAGATGGCGCAAAAGGCGCTAGCTCTTTAGAGCAGTGCCCAGTATTGTATTTATAGAAAAGAGAAAGAGAAGCAACAAAAACTGTTTATTTCAAACTTCCTGTCTTAAGCAATGCTTGGAAATGATTTCATTGTCGAAAAAATTTCAATCTGTAGTCAACTGTTGATTGCGGAATACTTACTTCTATTGAAATTTGTTGTACAGTGTTACCGCTTTTTATTAAAAATATTTATAAAAAATTTGAAAATATTTATAAAAAATTTTAGTTTTTTAAATATCTATAGAAAAAATTTTTGCAATTAAACTAATGATAAAGGTAAAAATGCTGCAAGTAAATAACTGTAAACTGTATGTAATTGTAAATATACTGATTCTATGCCACTGTTTCTATAAATAAATAGATTTTTTCTATGCACTTTTTCTATGCAAAAACTGTTGTCTTTTCAACTTCACTTATCACTGTCTCTACTGTTAAGAATCTCTTGCTAGTCCTACAACTAACCCTAAACTGCATATTATATGCATATATACTTCAACTTCAAATAGTTTTGACTGTACTTTATCTCTTATGTCACTACTGCTAATAATTCTTTTTCTGTTGGCTTTGCATCTACTGTGACTTCAACAATCTTTAGTAATAATGTTTTATAAAGTCTCATACTATATATAACTTGTTTTTTAAAACGATTACTTATTTTTTGCATCACGTACGCCTTTGAAAATATTATACTTGAATGCTTTATAACATAAAAAAAATTTTAAATATTAAATTACCACAAAAACTTGAAATTACAAAAATTTACCTGAAAAAATAGTAATCTGAGCTACCAATTCGTTGAAATTAATTTCTAAACATTATTTGATTTATGCTGTTGTATTTTTTTAATATTTAAGCAATGTAAATCCCATATACAATGTACCCATACATACAGTTTTATTGTTAAGAGACATAATACTTTCACCCCTCCTCTTCATAGGCCCACTCCCCCAGTTTTAAAAAGTTGTCTACAGCCATGATATATTTAAGCAAAAAGTTTTCTTTTTAGAATAAAAGAATGTTTTTATAATATAAAAATCAATGCCAACTTAAAAATCTTTTAAAAATTTTAAATCACTTTTTTAAGTTTAAATATAATAACCAGAAGATTTATTAACATGATCTTTTGTTTTTCATGTTGTGCTAAGAGCAATCTTGAGCAAATAAAGTATAAAAAATAAATTGTCAAATCTTTATAACATAAAAAAAAATATTGTCAAATCTTTTATTTCAAAAAAATAGAAGCTCAATAAAAATAGTATAATAAAAAAGAAAAAACATTAAATTAAGTTTCTCTTTTATTTTTGCTAAATAATTTTTCATCAATCTAGCCTATCTGGATTTGTTATGTTCATTAAAATGGTTAGACATTTTTGGAGTTAAAGGGATTAAAAAAATTTCAAAGTTTTGAGAAAATATTTTGAGTTACAAAATAAATAAAAAAAACCTTGAGAGCTAGTGGGGTTAAAAAATTTTCTGGAGTTTAATGGGCTGATAAAACTTTTAAAATCAGACAGTGGAAATACTTTATATCAGTGGGTTGAGAAAATGATTTAAAAAAAAAGAATATCAGCACCAATATTTCCTGAACTTGGCAAGAGAAAGAAAAAACAAATAAACAAAATTAAGTACCTGTGTTCCTCTTTACCACCTTGTAAAACCACATCACTTAAACCAATCTGACTGAACTGTTTAAATGGAATCATTAAATCAAACTCTTCCTTTTTTTGTCCCAATAATGACAAAAGTTGAAAAAAATTCATTGGTGGCAGTAAAAACTCAATAACTGGTTTTTGTTCATCATACTTCATTGATACCTTAAATAATGAATCAATTTCTAAACTTTCTTCACTATCGGTAATAAAAGTTTTTTTTGCAGTTGAGTTACCAAGAAAATACCACTTTTCTTTTTCTTTTTTTAATTGTAAATGAAAATTTTCAAAGTGAAAGATGTCATTAAAAAAACTAATATTTTTCTGTAATGACAATCGTAAATCTAGAAAAAATATATTGATAATTATTTAATATTTTTTATGGAATATTTTTTTATTTTACACAAAAAAATTTAAAATAAAACTAAAATAAATAAAAATTTTAAAAAAGAATTAAAGTAAATATAAAACATAAAATAAATTAAATAAAAGATAATGTATATATATATAGAAGATAAAAGATAATGTATATATAAAACATAAAATAAATTAAATAAAAGATAATGTATATATAAATAAATAAAATAAATAAAACTATTATACTTAAGCATAAAATTAAATTATTTTAAAAACATAAAACTGAATTAATAAAAATAAGAAGCATACTAAAACCACCATTTCTTCCATTAAAAGTAAAATGAGAAATGGTTATTTTTTTGTCTTCTTTAGAGTTTTCAGTAAACTGCTCAGGAAGATCAATTGTAATATTTTTATCATTTGAAAGACATTTAATAAAATTCTGATAATCATGCAGTCCATCGACCATTTTGAATAAAAATTCTTCAGAATTTATGATTCGAAGTTCAATGGATACAGTTTGTGGAACATCTATTAAAATGGGTATGTAAGTTAAATACATAACATTAAAAAACTATTTGAAATAAAAAATTCATCAAAATTGGTAAATTATATCAAAAATGATAAATTATTAAGATGCACATGTTTACACAAAACTGAAATTCAGTTAAATAACATTTTGTAAAATGAGATTTGAATCAAATTAACAATATTTATAAATGCAACACATGCTAAAAAAAAATCTAAAAAGTAAAAGCTATTTCTATTTTAAAAAAATATTTCTTACTTAAAAGTATAAAAAAAGAATTCTTATTTATAAAAATAAGTCTTCTTAATGTTCATACCAAGTAGTTTATTTTATAAGGATGCATTCTATAAGTATTAAGTCATCAAAACATTCAAAAACATATACTCTCAGAAAGAAAGCAAAAATTTGCATGCATCAACAAAATGGTAAAGACTGTGACTAAAAAAATTTTTTATATGTTGCTTTGTTCTCGACTCCTTTGTTCTCAACTCCTTTGTTCTCAACTCCTTTATATCACAACTCCTTTGTTCTCAACTCCTTTGTCCTCGACTCTTTTGTTCTCAACTCCTTTGTTCTCAACTCCTTTGTTCTTGTTCAACTCCTTTGTTCTTGTTCAACTCCTTTGTTCTTGTTCAACTCCTTTGTTCTTGTTCAACTCCTTTGTTCTTGTTCAACTTCTTACCCTTGACCCTTGAGTAGGTCAATATTAGAAGTACAAAATAACTTTGCAGTTATAAATTACCAAGCAATGATGGTAATTTCTAGATTAAGTAATGGAACACCTAAAGATGTAGCAATTTCTGTTAAAATATTTTATGATTTGAATAATAAATGAAAAATTCTTTCTGATACTTTCATAAAAAAGATTATAAAAGTGTCAGAAAAAACATCCATAAATGAAAAAAACTAATTTTGTGTATTTTAAAAGAACTACATGATTTATACAAAGAAAAAATCAAGAAATTCAAACAAGCTACCTAAAACTTGCTTCATTTAAACTAAAGTGGTGCATTTTGACACATACAAGTGGTACGCATAATTTTTGTGTTTGTTTTTATTCCTAAAAGCCATACTGTCAGTGAACTATTTTAATATTAGTAAAACATTTACTTTAACAACTTACTTTTAAAAACTGTTTACACAGTAGAAAACAAAGAATGTAAGCTTAAACGATTTTATGATTGTCCTAGTAAAGAACATCACCCCATGTTTGGATAAGATTTCCCAAAAATGAAGATGATTTTGAGATTAACTAAAATCAACAAAGGTATACTGAAACATATTTCTTACTGCTTTATATCAGATTACCTATGATGTAACATATGTACAAACTAATCATACCCATATTTGTCCAAATTAGGTAACCAGGCGAAATAAGAAACCAGGTGAATACTAAAATTGCAATATTTTGTGAACTGCTCTACATTTTTGTCTGAAATTTGCATGCAATATTTTTTTATAAAAAGGAATCATGTGTCAAAAGATAAAATAAAAAAGAAGAAAAATGATTCAATAGACTGGATGATTTGATGTGGAATTACCCTTATGTCACCCTTTGTTCTGAAATATTTAATAAATAGCACGAGGTATCAGTTTGAAGTGAATAGAATAAGGTATCAACCTGAATTTGGTAGCATGAGGTATCAGTTTGAAGTGAATAGAATAAGGTATCAGTTTGAATTTGGTAGCATGAGGTATCAGTTTGAAGTGAATAGCATAAGGTATCAACCTGAATTTGGTAGCATGAGGTATCAGTTTGAAGTGAATAGCATAAGGTATCAGTTTGAATTTGGTAGCATGAGGTATCAGTTTGAAGTGAATAGCATAAGGTATCAGTTTGAATTTGGTAGCATGAGGTATCAGTTTGAAGTGAATAGCATAAGGTATCAGTTTGAATTTGGTAGCATGAGGTATCAGTTTGAAGTGAATAGCATAAGGTATCAGTTTGAATTTGGTAGCATGAGGTATCAGTTTGAAGTGAATAGCATAAGGTATCAGTTTGAATTTGGCAGCATGAGGTATCAGTTTGAAGTGAATAGCATAAGGTATCAGTTTGAATTTGGTAGCATGAGGTATCAACCTGAATTTGGTAGCATGAGGTATCAGTTTGGTAGCATGCTTATCATACTGATCTTAACTCTGATCTTTAAGTAAATTATAACTTAATCATTTATAGCGATACAAGATGATTAAATTAATTAATTCTTTAATAAGTTCTAATTATTAAATAAAAGAGTTATACAAATAGCAACAATTTTTTTTATTTAATGAATGTACATTTCATATTGAAACTTATCAATATTTTATAATTTGAATGGTGTGTACATTTCATCAATAAGAAGTCAAGTACTATTGACTTTTTAATATCAATTATTTAGCATTATTTAGTGTATGTATTATTTTAACAATTTTAATTTTAATAAAATGTAAATAATAAAATAAGAAAATAAAAAACACTAGTCGTGACTTTTTTAATTTAATATTACAAAAATAATTTATTCACCTTAATTTAATATCACAAATGTTTGCAGAATTTATTCACCTTAATTTAATATCACAAATGTTTGCAGAATTTATTCACCTTAATTTAATATCACAAAAATATGTTGTTTGCAGAATTTATTCACCTTAATTTAATATCACAAAAATATGTTGTTTACAGAATTTATTCACCTTAAAAGCTACATTTTTTTGTTATTCATATTGTCATAAAAATTGCCTGAAAACTTATTAAACTTTGTCAATCTAAGTGTTTTTTTTTAATAAAAAATCCCACTAAACTTTTTTTACTAAGTTTTACTGAGTTAACTTCTGTTTTTTTTCTTTTTTACTCACTGTTTTTATTTTTAATGTTTCATATTTTTGACATTGAACTTAACCAGGCTAAGGACAAAAACTTAAATTGTTCAAATTTTATATGCATTCATTTGTTGATTTATTAATTTAATTAAAAAATGAAAACTGACCTGGGCTTTTACTGCCACATCCATTTTCATAATCTTCTTTTGATATTTCGATTCTTGCAGTAATTCCAACTGGAAGAATTATTGGAGTAGGAGTTAAAACAGCTATTTTGTCACCTTCAGCAATACTCAAAACCCAATCATAATTGTTTAACTTTCCAATGATTGGTAGTGATAACAATATATTAGAATTAGATAGTAAACTGATAAGGATCTCATTTACAGATTTTCCTAAAAAGGTACTATTTAAATATATATATATATATATATATATATATATATATATATATATATATATATATATATATATATATATATATATATATATATATATACATATATATATATATATATATATATATATATATATATATATATATATATACATATATATATATATATATATACATGTATATATATTTATATATATATATATATATATATATATATATATATATATATATATATATATATATATATATATATATATATATATATATATATATATATATATATATATATTAATTAAATTTAACTAAAGTACTTAGGGCTAGAAAATTCATTTACTATTTACTGGTAGTAAATTGTAAACAAAAAGTATAAAAAGACTCATGCTGGGTAAAGGTTGCCAGATGTCCGGCTTTTACAAAGAAGAACACAGTAAAAAAATTATTTTTACAGGTTTGGAGTTGTATATTCTCCTTTGTAAAATTCAGAGATATGGCAACCTTATGCTGGGTGACTTTTTTTGCATGAAAAAAAGAAATTATGAAAAAAAATTTTAGGTAGAGACAAAACTAAAGATATAATTGCAAAACTTTACTATATTGTTGCATAATTTGACGAAACTGTGACAAATTACATCTAAAAAATATCCGTTATATAACAAAATATATACTGTGGTGAATGTAAATTATAATATATAAAATATATCCAATATATTTTGTGGTGAATTAGAACAGTTGCTGCTTCAAAAACATTTATATTTGGCTGAAAAAAGTGTAACAAGCAAAGATTACAAAAAAAAAAAAAAAAACTGATAAAAGAGTAGCAGTAGTGAGATTAAAGAGATGGCAATCAATGACAATAGCATTAAAATGGCAGAACCAAAATGCTGAAAATAGTTCAGATAAGGAAGAAGGTCATGATTGCAAAATTAAACAGAATGATAAATAATATAGATGCTGATGACAAAAAAATTCAATTGGAAAAACATAATGTACATGGTTAAGAACCTGACAAAGACAAGAAGTAGTACACTGGGGTGAAATGAGTGTCTTTGATTAATATCAAATTAAAAACATAGGTTGTTCTCAATTTCGCCTAGAACCTAGAAAAAAGCAGAAGTTGTATCTTGTTCAGAGTTGACCAAGTTTTGTACTTGGAACAATGTCTAGGAACATTTCTGCATCCTGAAAAATACAGGAATAGGTCACATTTTTCCTCAAGTTGAAGACAAATCACTGTTTAGCTATTCTCAAAAAATAGGGTGTATGAATCAACCAACTCTTGAACATAAAGATTTTTGAAATTCAATGTAAACTCTAGGAAATGGTGATTATCCCCATTTTGTTAATACTATTAACAAAATAGACAATAGACAATGGAACCTGTACCAACTGCTTTTAGTATTAATTTAAAAAATACTGAACTTGAATTTTATTTTAGTTTCATTCCAAATAATAAAGTAAACAGTGCTTATTTTTGGGCTTTTACAATATTATTTGTATGACGATTTTTATTAGTTGCAACTAAAAAAGTATATTTGCAGAAAATCTTCTAGAAAATACCAGAAACACTCAAAAAATGTCCCTATTCACACCAGTTTATCATACAGAAGTAGATGAAGTTTACCCATGCCCCTTGAAATGAGAATACTGTTGTACAAACCTTTTAGATTCTATAGATTTTAGATTCTATAGATTAAAAATACAGGCAATATAATATAAATTACCAGTTTATATTATATTCTTATATATGTCAAAAGCTTTTAATTCTGTGCCTCATAACATGTTGTGTCTTAAACAAAAAGTTTATGTTATTTAAAGTAATGCACTTAGGTGGTGTAAATATTTTCTGTAAGAGTGCAATAAGCAACTTATAATGGCTAGTTTTCAAATTGGCTTTTAGTTACAAATGTGCCAAAAGAATTTGTTTTGGCTCAGTTAATGTTTACTGCTCATATAACCAATTTATAAAACAGGTTATAAACTAAGAGTATGCAGATGATATAAGCTAATTAACATAACCAGGTTTTGATTTAGAAAAGAATGTAATAGATCTAAACAAAAGTAATGGCATGCCAAAATAACATAAGAAGTTAATTAGAGATACATAAGAAGTTAATAAAATTAAACCAAGTGAATATGTTGAACTATATGTTAATATTTTGTATTTGGGTTTTTATATTTTTTGTAAATAGTTAACTTTTTATTAAAATGCATTAACCCTTTTGTGCCGAAAGCGCACATGTGAGCGCCTACAATATACCAATCAAAATCTCTCTAAATGTTATTGCTCAATCCTATTTAGTATCAAATATTAACCTTTTATGCTCATAGACATATAAATTAAGCTTGGGAGAGTAGGAACTATTAATTTATGGATTGTTTTAATGTTTAAAACACTAAAGATAATTGACAAAAATAAATGTAATTGTTAAACTTTATATATTGCAGATGGCTTTGAGAAGTAGAATTATAAATGATTCAAATGAAGTTCTTTGACTCTTTGATGAAATGGATGATGTTAGTGATTTTTGGATAATGTTAGTGGTGTTGATGGATGATGTTAGTGGTGTTGATGGATGATGTTAGTGATTTGTCTTGTGAATCTTTAGAGTCTGATGACAACAAATTTCAAGAGAATAAGTTGTTTTTACTCACCAACAGCTCCATCATCAGCAAGTCGGTCATTATCATCACAAATAATTTCATTGCCATAGTCTGCAATACCTAATTGTGATGGCAATATCAAACCAATCTATTTATTTGAATTGTTTTTTGAAAATGCTTTAATACAAAAACTTGTCACTGGGACAAATCACTATGATTTAAGGTTACAACCCTCTCCTGTAAAGCATAGAATGATATATGTTGATGTTACCTCAAATGATATCAAAGTATTTATAGCAATCTATTTAGCAATGGAAATAATAACACTTACTCACATTCATGACTACTGGGGACATAAACAATTGTTTTTTTATCTCCTCTTTTAGTAAAGTAATGTCTAGTGCAATCAAGTAAATGGTATAGTCAAACCTTTTACCACCTATTGGAAATATGTGTTCATAATTTACTTTACTATGTCTTAGTTTACTGACCATCATGCTCGCAGTCATCAAAGTTTTTGTGAGGAACTTATTAGTAGAAAACTAACAATTAGTAGAAAATACTCAATCTAAACCTGGAAGACCTAGTAATTCAAATGAACAAACAACATTAAGATATACAAATGTTGGAGTTAATAAACCTTATGATAAGTCAAGAGATTGCAAAAGTTGTTCTGAAAAGATTTGAAAAGTAATTTAGTTGGTCAGTCCCATTCAAAAGGTATTCATAGATAACCATTTTTTTGATCATTTTGCTATGTCCATTTATGCCTTGATTCAGTCTCCAATTGATTGGAATATGAGGCATTCGTAGTTTTATTTAAAAAAAATTTTGTACATATTCACTTTTGTTGACTAAATATAATAAATAAAATGACTTGAAAAATATTTTCATTCCTTTAAAAAAGTGTAAATTTAAAATTCCAAATTTTGTCTGCTTTTCAATGGTATATACATTGTAAAACTTGCTTTGTAAGGAAACTATTATATTTTTATAAGGAAACTATTAATATTTTTTTTTATTATTTTAGTAGTTTCATCTAATGTAGATAGCTACATAGTATTGTAGATAGCAACGATATGTGGGTGTCGATACTTGTCACTAAAAATTTGTAGTGTGTACAAACACAACTGTTTAGCTAGCGATACTAACTACCTATAAATTTATAGCTATGTTTTAGAAAGCTAAATACGTAGGCATCTAGCTACATTTGTTGTTATGTTGTAGTCAGGGCCGGTGCAAGGGCTATGCGAGTTATGCGGTCGCATAGGGCGTCGGAATATTAAATGTTTATTTAATTGTAAACTTAAATTAAGGGGCGCCAAAGTTTTTATTTTACACTTTTGATTTTGTATGTTTTTGCATCTGCACTTCAATAAAAATAATAGTTACAGTAGGTAGTTATTTATTTGAAAGAATAAGTTTTTAAATCATCAAAGCCGTAAAAAAAGAAACCTTTGGGTTTTTTTTTATAGAAAACGCAAGTCAGAAATAGAGAGAGAGGATAAAAAAAACAAACATTGATTAAATTTTTCTATAGACTGTAAAACAAGATCCACACGATAATCAGTATCAACTCCAGATGAGATACGATAAAAGAGTGAATTTTTTACAACTAATTTTGTTAATAAATACAAAATAATAATAAGTTAAAGAATAATAGGTTACCCTTTGTTTAAGCCTTAACAACCATTGTTTTCTATTTTTACAATATTCTTTTTTTGATGTTCGGTGTTGGGTGTACTTTTAACCATAATTAAAGTCATAACAAACACCTTGTAGCCTAAGGGCAAAAGACGTCAATAGAAAAATCACAGTCCTAAGATTTAAAAGATATTCTTGATGGAAGCATTTGAAGCTATATCTTTTTATGTACAAGAGCGCTTTAACTTACAACCAAGTACCAGTAAAAGGACATCAACTTCATATTCATTTAAGGTTTAGGCTTTTCTTTAAAAAAAACTGTTTAAAATCACAGCACAAAGTCTTATTTTAAAACAAAAACTTTAGTTTTAACTCCTCTCTTTGTATTGTGCAATTCCTTGGTACTCAAGAATTAGCTTATAGACCTTTTCGGTTGGTGTAATCCAACATGCACAGAACAAGCGTGTGTCTGGAATAAGTCTACTAGAAAAGATATAAAATTGTGCCTAATAACTGACCTAGTTGTTTGAAAAAAAATTGCAAATAATGAAAAAAATGCTAATAATAGGGAAATACAAGAATGAAAGCATTGCAAAAATTCCAAAAATTGAAAGCCATCGTGAATTTAATAAACATTCATTTGATACTTTTTTAAACAACATTCATATATCCGAGGCTTCTGCAGTAATATTTAAATCAAAAATTAAAAAATCTGATGAAAATATTGTAAGTAATCCTGATCTTGAAGAGATA